CACTCTCGTCTGTCCACCGTTTCTTTGTACCTCGAGCTCGTGTGTGTGTGCGTTAGCAAAGGCTCTGACAGCGTCTGTGCTCACCGGCTTCCTGACTGATAACTGCTGTGATGCGCCACTTGTCTGTCCTACTCTATTGAGCCGGCTAGCCAACACTAAATGATGATGTTTGTAATCCAATGGTGGTACCCCAAGATTTCTCAGCAGGAGAGACAGGAGAGAGATAGAGTCTGGTGTGTGTGTGTGTGTGTGTGTGTGTGTGTCTGCGTCGCTGTGTGTTTGTTTGTGTGCTGGGGGGGGGGGTTGTCTGGCAGCCAAAGCACAGAAACGTGGGAGGCATGCTAACGTTAGCAGCCAGTAGGACGTGCTATTACTCTCTTAGAAGCTACAATAAATTTGCACTGTTCATCTGTCTCAGCAGCCAGCATGAGCGGAATCAGGCGTCAGCCGCTGTGTGATGCACTCAGTGATGTAGTGGTAAATAAAAAGTTGAGTAAACTAATGTATAGGCTCCTGTCTGTGGGTGATCATCAAGCGGTACAAATGGCCCCTGCCATATGAGAAAAAATACTCCCTTTTCCTGTAAAGTTTTTCTCTTTAAAACTAATTTAAAGTGGCTAGACTCTGATTTATTTCATCTCTACACACACACACACACACACACACGCCCACACAGAGCATGTTAGCTTTGCTCATCTATGTATAGCATAGCCACTGGCAGCCCTACACGTATCATCATATATCAGCTCATGGTGGAATTCAAGAAAGTGAAGCTAAAGTAAAAAGGTTATGGCTATATATTAGCATTTTCTTCTATAAAAAAAAACAACCCAACAATAAATAGTGATTCATGCTATGGATTAAATAGGATAAATCCTTGACATCATGACCTACAGCAGCAAGCACAGCACACCGCGTAGCTGCACTGATGTACTCAACAATGATATTACATCTCCAGCGCCGGGAGCTGCTCTGATTCGCGCGGAGGTTTCACATGAAAACACCTCAGACACCTCACTCAGTGATGAAAGGGCAATGTGGAAGCATGTTATTTTGAGGTGCACTTGAACTAACACGGCAAAAAATTGGAAAAATCCACCCCCAACCCCCACCCCTGCGATGCGAGAGATCAATAATGGAGCACAAGTCTTTGACCCACCGATAACACTGTACATCTGGAAGAGAGCTCTTTGCCATCCATAACGGCCTAATCGGGTGTTTGACTCCAAACACTCAGGGTTTATGAATATCTGATGAGCGCTGGGGTAAGCTCATGAATAAGTGAGGGGCCCAGCTGTGCATCAAAAAGATCAAGACTTCATGAAAAGTGCCATAGCTGAGCGATACATGGAGCTAGGTGCTGTTCAAGAATTAGGGTTAAAATTGATTTGCTTCTTCTTCTAAAATGGTATTTCAGCTATATTTGTAAAGATACAGCAGGAATCCTCATAGGCTCCTGTCTCGTTTCAGCCTACTGAAACCAGGTCTATGAAGATGAAACTACAGAGGAGTCTTGTCTGGTAGTTTGTGCAGTGTGTAATGGGTCAAGAATGTGTTGATATTCCCGTGGTGACCCCAAACACTCCCTGTTCTGAGTTGGTTCTGGAAGAATCTGTCTTGGACAGAGAGGTTGTTTTTTTTTTTTTTCTTTTCTTTTTCTCTTTTGACACTCCCCATGGAAAGAAGTCAACCAATAGAAAATAATAAAGTTCGAAACCTGACCTTGATGAAGGAGATGAAGAAAAAGAAAACACTGTCCCCCGGCACATCTGTGCAGGGTGGAAGGAAAGGAAGGATGAGGAACGGGAGGCAGAGAAGGGAAAAACACAAGTTTGTGTGTATGTGTGTGTTGTGTGTGTTGTCTTCATGTGTGTCTGTCTGGGTCGATGTTAGTACGGATGCCTGCATATGTGTGTGTATGTGTGTGTTGTTTGTGTGTGTGTGGGGGCAGAGGGAGTTCTTGCGTGCGTGCATTCATGTGTGCGAGACAGACGAGCAGCTGCAGTGGAGGACGATTGTTCCTGCACATTGTGTGAACATCGATTGACAACAAGCAAGTCAGGGGGGGGGGTAGAAGCACGGAATCAAAAAAAGGGACACATTAGCCTTTGTCCGTGTTTCACCCCGACACAAAGCGACGGCAATCAAACATGATGAGTCAGTACCGCGGTGAACGAGGAACAGAAATCAAATCCTCCGATTGACAGTTTTCAAACTGACACTCATACTTCTAAACAGAAGGTCAGGATTTTGTAAAGTCTTGAATTGACCCCCCCCCCCCCCCCCACTCCATACATCTTTCCACCCCACCCCCCTTTCTTTTCTAAAAAAAAGACTCGCCAGGAATCATCATCATATCACGCACGTAAATGTCTGCAATTACCTGTCGCTAATGATGCCCACGCCGGCTCTGAGCGCCACAGCAGGCCATCTGCTAACTTTTTTTTTTGTTCTCCCTCTTTCCTTAAAGAGCTCAGGCTTCATGTAAAGAGCGAAATGCAGGCGCTGACGGTGTCTGCATATACGCCCTGGCTACAACAAGAGGGAGCGCTAATGACTGTAGTTAGCGTCCCTCAAGAGGCTGGAGCAGTTTGCCAATATTTGCCCTAACCTTAGATGATTGCGTTTTACTTTACACGCCGGTGTTTAGCCGATGCCCTCATCCAGAGCGACCTTGCATAAGTGAGCGAGCAGGGTCCCAGCGTCTGCATTCAAGGGCAGATTAACAGAAAATATACAGATGTTTTTTTTCTTCTTCTCGGGTTGAATAACAAGATCTAGACCAATTACAGTCTCTAAGACAACAAGGCCACCCTGTTGCCCACCTAAATCCAGATCATATCACCTCATAGCCTCCGAGCACAAACTGGAAGAACTCGATCGCTGTATTTAATGCGCTGCGAAGATGTGAGCTTTTTGAGATTTGAGATTAAAAACAATACGTTGAACAAAACAGGGCCCACATTCGCATGCACTCGCCCGCTTCCAATCTCACTTGTACAGCTGGTGTGTGTGTGTGTGTGTGTGTGACACACACACACTTACACACACACACACACACACACACACACACAATAGTTCAGCTGATCTCACTAAAGATAGCGAGCAGCAGCGGAGCATGTTGTTTCTCTTGGATGGAGGCTGATTCATGAATTGACCTTGACTCCGTTCCTCCAACAATTCTCCTCTAAAGCTGCAGTATACTTTGCGATAGCACTCTCTGAAAGCGTGGAAAAGGAGAATTAACAACATGGGCGCACTGAGCTGGAGCCAAAATTGACTGGGATTACATTAGCATATATTTTGGGTCAGCGTTGTAATTGTAAAAAAATATTCCAAATTTGACAATATTTTATGATACATGAGCTTTTTTTTTTTTTTTTTCGGTATTCAGTATTCCGTTTCGGGGTTCATTCGTTTCACTATTTATGCTGTGTTTTTGTTTCCAAGGTGGATTCGCTTGACAGGCTGATCACAGTTTTGATCTAACTGGGTTTGTCTGGTCTGTGTTGAAAGTAGCAACAAATTGAAATGAGCCTTTTTAACTGGCTCTAACTTGGCAGGTAAACGGGTACCTTTTTAAGCCACAGATTTTTTTTTTTTTTTTTTTTTTTTAAATCCACGAGGTAGCCTTATCGGCTCACACCAAAGTGTTTTAAAATCCCTTTTAATCTGCATTAATGCCAAGAATTTGAGAGAGGTCATTGTGGACACCTGTGTAACTGCCCGTTTGATGTGGACATCTGTCTGCTTGGCCCGGCTATCTGCCGTACAGGGTCATCACATTAAGCGAGACCATTTCATGCCCAGGCTCCACCTTGTGACTATAACACTGATCCGATATAAGTTAAGACATCATCTACCAAACAACTCCATCTAAAAAGAGAGGATGTGAATCTTTAAGCCATTTGAATATCTTTATCCTAAGCTGCAATGGGAAAGCCTCTGCACTTAGGCTTAGCACTCTCAAGACAGCTCCTCCTTGTTAAGCATCGCCTCAGACTCTGAGACTATGAATGGGACCATTACCCCCATCTCTCGCTGCACACCCAGATCCACACACACACACACACACACACACACACACATATTTTAGCCTTGGTAGGAAAGTAGCTCAGGCTAGCTGTGAGAAGGTTCTGCAAGGGAGGATGCAGTACTGTACCGAGGGACTGCTTTTACAATAGGCCTTTTTTTCTTTCATTTTTTACATTGCTCCCACTCACTCTCTCTAAACTGCAGACTTTTCACATTACAACCTACAGAACATCAGTTCTATCTCCCAACTGGAACAACATGAGCTCCTTCATAAGGGCCTCAAGCCAAACACACATCGCAAATCAGCACGGCAGCTCTCCGTATAGATTCTACACTGTTCAAGTGGAGTATTAACCCCCCGTCGTTTTCACTTCTTTTTTTTTTTATCTCAAAGAATAGAAGAGAAGACATCGAGATCTTATAGGAAATCTATCCCCAGTCAAGCTGAAGCCTAGGCGCCAAATGGGGGGGCCCAAATGAAATTCAATGGGAATTTGAAAGATATCCAAAATAGCTGCCGACTAACAGGAGTAAAAAAAATAGTCTGAAAGGTGTTAATCTAAAACAATGCGTTACATGCAGCACCTTTGATCAAACAAGCCTGCTGCTTCTGAAGCGGAGCCACAGGCTCCATCATTATACCCACCCCTCGTCTTCACATGATGCACATCGGTGGAAGGGCTTTAGCTTTCATAAGAGTTGCAACGGCTACAACCGCCGCACCACATCACAGCTGACACGCCAAAGAAGCTAAATAGCCAATGCCAAAAAAAAATCCTCAAGCCAAAAATAATTTAAAAAAATAACAGAAATACTAACGAGAGGAGAGATAACCTCACGTTCCTGCATGTCAGTGAGGCTGTCTACCATCGGCCGTGCTACGTGAATGCTCTAAGGCAGTATGTGCGTGTGTGTTTCCTGTATCTTAGCGTTTTTCTTAATCTCCTTTCAGTGTTTGCCCCTACCATTTTCCATGTGCTCTGCCTCACCGACACTGCCATCCGGCGTTGTCCTCTCGTAGCTGTCCTCGGGCAGGGGGAGGGCGCCCAGCCGGGGGCCCGACGAACTCTTGCTGCTGGGCGTCTCCGACTCGTCCAGGCCGCTGTCGTAGCAGCTCTGCAGCGATCCCTGCTGGTGAGGGTCCTGGGGCTGGCTCACCACCGAGAAGGTCACTCGGCGAAACGGCTACAAGAGAAACCAAACGGCCGGGGGTCACTATAAAAGGGACTGTTTTACTTTTCTTTCTCTACTTTACTTTTCTTACTTCTCTACGTTTCTTGTATTGTTAGGGAGTTGGGTCCTCTGGATTTTAGAGAGGGGGATTCGGGTCAGGGTGGCAGAAAAATAGGTTAGAAAAAAGGGGGTAAGGAGGCGTAGAAGTGTGCTAGCTAGATTTTTAAGGACACAACTATTAGGGTACACTTAAATCTGCAAGCTAGCTGTGACGTCACTTCCCTCACCCCAAAAAATAAGAAACATAACCTTAACTGCTCTTTCACAACAGCCAACAAAATGACCTCTTCATCACCACGTGTTTTATTTGCCTACGAAAGAGAGGACAAGGCGAACAAGCCCTGGGCTCTGCGGGAGGTCAGATTTGACGCCACAGAGCAAAAGCGCCAAGGCAAAGACAAGCACATACAAACAGGCGTGCGCACATGCACGCACGCACACACACACACACACACACACACACACACACACACACACACACACACTGCGAGATGAGCTGTGGGCTCACACTGTCAATATGTGTAGCCGGCTCGAACACGTTATTGAACAGTGTCCCGCGTTAAACAGTAACAGAGCATGTCATTAAAAGCCCGGGCCTCTGTTCTTTCTCACTGTATCAGTTTGTTTCCTTTCCTCTCTCTCACTCTCTCTCTCATAAATCTATCCCTGCCTGAGCATCGTACAAAAGGTAATAGCAGAGAGGGAGGGGGGGGGGGATGAAAGAGGGAGAATGAGCATGAGACAAGGAATGAAAGACCAGGCTTGGTCATTACCAGAATAAATGGCATAACAAATGGCTAATGCCATTCATTAATTAGATACAAACACAGTCAGAGCTTCGCCTCTGTTGCGCGGTCGCATCTTCTCTTCCTGCCCCTTTGCTGGACCTCATCACTTCCTCATGTTCTCCTCCTCTCCCGACACCCTCCTCCTCCTCTCCTCCCCCCTCTGTCCTTCTTTCCTTGTTCCATCATGAGAATATTAAACAGGACAGAGGCCCATTACTCTCTTTCTCCCTCCCTATCCCTCCATTTGTTCCCCTGTTGTCTCACCTGATGAAGTGAAATCGGTTATCAGCTTGTCTGATTGGTAACTTGCGTCTTTTAAATTTTTCTACATCTGTCCTCGACACCGCCATAATCCGCCCTGTCATTTTGTTTTTGAGACGCAGACGTCAAAACATCATGTCGAGCTCTTATGGTGTCGACTGATATTCCTTATGTATGAAAGTACATCCTTAGAAAAAGTGACAAATGAAGCGTAAACACACACACACACCCACACACACACACATGCGTCGGGAGCATTCTGAGCGAGTGTTGACAGGTCACCTTGGAAAGGTGAACCTCTCTGTTATTTTGTCATCCTAAAACACTTTTTGAGCACCTCTGAATCTCTGCCAGGCGCGCAGAGCAAGATTCTCTTTTTGATAATGAAATTTCCCACAAGCCACTGGGGGGAAAAAAGGGCTTCTTTTTTGTGTGTGTGTGTGTGTGTGTGTGTGTGTGTCTGAGTGGAAAAATTTGCATTTATTTATATATTTCCTCTTGGTTCTCTTTCTCTGGCTGGCTGGCTAACACAGCAATCTTGGCAATAAATCATGTTTCCATGTAATTACAATCAACACTCAACAAATGAATTGGTATAAATATTCATGCAAATTTCACTTGGATAGTCAAACATTTGTTGCATAATTAAAATCAGGACCCAGAAGGAGAACCGCTCTCTATAAGTGTAATAACACTTGAGAAGATGTTAAGATATTAAACCATGTTTCGTTTTTTTATATATATATATATATATCTAGATATATATCTATTTTGTTTTGTTTATTTGTTTGTTTCTTCTCACTTGTTTGGTGTGAGGTGCGTGTTAACAAGCCCCCACAGCTTGCGTGTGGTCGAAAACAAAAAGTACTTTGTCTGGTTCGGATTTAGTGGAGTGCCATACTCCTTGGGAAACACAGTGTTCTAATGATACAGATTAAACAACTGTTGCCTAATGAATTGCTGGCGAGCCCGCCGCAAAGAAAAGAAACACCCGAGCAAGCGCGCACAGAGGGAAAATTGAGTTTGGGAGAGAGAGAAAAGAGGCTGACGGGAAGGAAGGGAAGAAAAAAATAAAAGTTAAATGAACAAATGGATTTTATTCACCTGAATTTCCCCTTATTTTCACTGGAGGGAGAGCGAGATAGAAGAGAGAGGGGGGAAAAAAAGCTAATTTGTTTGCAGACCAGAAATGGAGTTCATGCAGAGATCGCCGGAGGCTTTGGATTAGAATCTGCAGCAAGCACCGTCTGCACAGCGACCTTCGCTCCCTTCATTCTGTGTCTTTTAAATAAATGAATAAAATAAAAAGTGATTCTTTTTAAGTCATATTTCCCTTCTATTTGTGTGTGTATGTGTGTGTATGGACGTCTACGCGTGTGTCTCCGTGGTAGCTGCGGAAGAAAAAGGAATTGTCCAACATGCCATGTGAAATTACATATGGCTTTGTGGATGTCACAACCAATCTTACTTCTTTTTTTCTCCTGTCTCTTTCTCTCTAATATTCATAGGGAAGACAATTTGGGGGCTTGTCACATGGCCAAACCACAGGGAAAAAATTAACAAAATTATCCGCCACGCACACACGCAATCAGAGCTGACGATTGGGGGTATTGCTGCCCTGAAGATATGTTCAATGCATGAGCAATGGCGAGGGAGATTTTGAAATTGTGGGTGTTACAGTGGAAGTGTATCCCCATCACTGTCAGTTGACCCCGCCCCACCCCTCACCAGATACTGGCCATTTTTCAGACCCGCTGAGTCTGTTGAGCCCGACCCGAGTACATGTCCTTCAATGCTGGCCCCTTTCTACCTCCCACCCTGACCTGCTGGCCTCACGGTCCACTCAGCCGCCAATCAATTCAAGCAGTGACCAAGCCTGAAGCACAAGCGCGCACACATATGGCTTAACCCCCCCCCCCCAAAAAAAAAAATTACTTTCAGCTCAGTTTCGTGACAGTCTATGATATGATGGATGGTTTTTTATAGACTTGGATTCAGAAAACATAAAAAAAAAAAAAAAAAATCTGAATCTCATCAAATTATTCCACCTATGCTGTTGCATCACTACACGGCTAAACCCCATGCTGCGCCCTGGCAGAGAGTAGCCAAGCTTCTTCTTTTTTTTTTTTTAATGTATGGATTTCATTACAAGTTAGCAGTTGTTAACTTTATCTTTACCAGATGCTGGGACACCACCCCCTCCCCCAACAAGGCCTCTTTGGGGCAGGAGGGGGGCGTGCCTGTGATCGAAAGCCAGCTGTGACAGCCACGGGTGATTGAGCAAATCCGTCATCCCGAAAAATGAACAACGCAAACAAGCCACAGGTTTTTTTTATTGTGGAGCTCTGGCCCGAGCTTGGCCCGGCCTATTTCCTGGACGCTAAAGGGAAAACACATGGGGCCGCCCGACTTGAGCCGAGCCGGGGCCAATAAAAACAGGACCGTGCCACTCATTGTCAATAATGTGTGACCTCTTGGATTTGATTTTCATTTCCTCCGCCCTCAAACTAAACGCTGAGCTGCTGTCAGAAGCACTCTGTTTGAGCCTTACTCTTTTTTTTTTTTCCTTCTTCTTCTTTCATCTCCCAGCAAACCTTGAACAGGTAACACATTGTTTAGAAGTAGAGCGCTCTGCCTTTGCTTGAGTTGCTCTGATTAATGACACCAGTTAAGAACACGGTCAAGACGCATTACTTAAGGCTATACAGTAGCTTTAATGCCAGCGCTCTCATCAGCTCTCCAGTCGGCATCCCTTATGTCACTCTCGTGCTCACATGGTACAGTATGTGTACAGAACACACAGTGGTGACTGTGTTTGAACCCATTCTCCCTGGATGTCTGGAGTTATAATTAAGCCCACCTCCACCAGAACCTCTGGAAGGATAATAGAAGCGTGGAGGTGGGTCTGGTTGGAAAACACAGTGTGTGTAATGTCAGCTGTAAATACCTTTTGGCGGATGCCAGTGACCCACTACCGTGAACCACAGGAAGTAATTGTGGCTGGGCCGGACTTGGGGCAAGGGGAGCAAACATAAACTGCAGGGCCAGTGTCTTATTGCAGTCAACCGAGAAAGATGGAGGGATCCGGAGAAGGAAGTATGAGTAAGTGAGATGGAAGGGAAGATAAGGAGGCCGGTGGAACAGGAGGGGGGCAAAGACTTGGAGAGAGTGAGAGAAGTGGGTGATACATGAGTAGGACTCATGATTGCCAAAAGTGCCAGTCGGTAATTAAGAAGCCATGTTTCATTTTTAATAGGCAACCAGACAGTGACCTGTGACAAGCCACCTGAGACGCACAGAAACTGCCAAATAGCCACGGTACACCAAACAACACGGTCGCTGGCATCTTAAATTGGCTTAACCCAATCGTGGTTACTTGCTTTGCGATGCAGGTTGAAGCGCCGGTGTAATTCCAGTGCGGTGAATTAAAGAGATCATGAGATGTTCAAGCGGTAAACGAGACAAATGCCCTCGAGGTGAATGTCTGACTGGAAATCAATCGGAAAACCGATCCGGGTGGACTCGGGTTCTGTTTGGGTGCTGCTCTGTCGCACTCACGGGCGCACCTAAGAACACAATGCTGATGCTGTCCGGACCGCGGTCGTCAAAAACAAAGAGCCAAATGTGGATGGTCTCTCAGGTGTGCTAGCCCCCACCCCTCACCCCCCAACCATGAGTGACCGGAGAGGGTTTTGGATCAGGCCGAGTGAGTTGTGGGAATGCTGGCAGAGTAGTCGGCTGCAGCTTTGTTAGCTCCACCGCCTGCAGAGTCTCAGGTATCGTGTTCTCTAGCCTTGACTGATAGCTTTGGCCCCTGTCAAGCTCCAGCGCTCCTCTTCACTTCTTTCACATTCCCCTACTTCTTCTTCAAACTTCACTCCTCCGCACACATTCCTCCCAGGT